AAAAGACCCCGATTCTTTACACGGGCCTCTCACTGTTGTGGCCTCTCCCGTGGCGGAGCACAGGCTCCGGACGCGCAGGCCCAGCGGCCATGGCTCACGGGCCCAGCCGCTCCGCGGCACGTGGGATCCTCCCGGACCGGGGCACGAACCCGTGTCCCCTGCATTGGCAGGCGGACTCTCAACCACTGCGCCACCAGGGAAGCCCTATGGAGCCTTTCTTAACTTCCTTGTGCCTGGTATTAGTTCCTCCAAACTAATTCATTTTGCTATTATTGCTGCATATATGTCACTCTGTATTGTGATTACTTATTTGAATTCCTATCTCTCCCTCACTAGCCTGATTTCCTTTACAGCAGGGAACATGCCATTTATCTTTTCATTTCTGGTACTTCACACTATTCCTGGTATACAGTTGCTACAAGAGAAATGTTTGTTGTTTTGAATAAAGCATTTAGTTACTAAAAAGGTTATGGCAAGGGCCTGCTTGTTGCCAAGGAGCTGCCATACTTTTTCCTAAATTGTGGGGAGAGTTTGCAAACAAAGGAAAAGACAGTAGTAGAAACTAATATCTTCCCAAATTAGTGATAACGCTTTAGTAATAAATTAGAGATAGGAAAGAATTGTATAGGCACGTAGAGAAAGGATGTATACACTGCTTTGTTTTTAAAAAATGACAAACATGTAGAGAAAGGATGCATACACTGCTTTGTTTTTAAAAAATGACAAACAAGGACGTTTGCTCTGCCCAAAGAGATCACGCTCTTTCTGAGATACGGCGTTTGCAATTGGGTAAATAGTTTGAGATGAATAACCATTGAAGGACAGTGGGGACACCATAGGGTAAAAGCCAGGGCTTCCCTGGTGGCGCAGTGCTTGGGGGTCCGCCTGCCGATGCAGGAGACGCGGGTTCGTGCCCCGTTTCGGGAGGATCCCACATGCCGCGGAGCGGCTGGGCCCGTGGGCCATGGCCGCTGAGCCTGCGGGTCCGGAGCCTGTGCTCCGCAAATGGGAGAGGCCACAACAGTGAGAGGCCCGCATAACGCAAGAAAAAAAAAAAAAAAAAGCCAAAGAAGAATCAGAGAGCCCAACTTCTTCACTGGACAAGAGAAGACAACAGAACCTCAGTAAGATATCTTCTGTGGCTAAAAATCATAATCGCAAGTACAGATCCCAGTCACAAAAAGCAGCCCTAAAATGCAGTGCGTTGTATGTTTTGGCATAGGTATGCTATGGCAAAACTGCAGTTCCTTGGAAAATATCTTAGTGGTGTATTAGGATCAAATCCAAACCACAAAAGTTAGACCTGAGATGTTTTGTGTGCTGTTGCGGTCCCTCCCACACATGAAACGTGGGTGTCCAGGCTCACCCAATGGGGAAACTTGCCTCCAAGGGCTAGAGAAGGACCCTGACAAAGAAAGAAGAATGGGGGAGAAATGGCACATGAATATGCGCAGTTTAACTTTATTCATCACCATGACTACAAATAAAGAGGAAGAATCACTTATTAATTCATCCTAATTTGTGCAAGTGTCTTCAAAAGGGACACAATCAAGAGAATGATTTTGAAAAAGTGATGGTACGAGACTGGGTGATTTGGAAAGACACCCTAAATGGCAACCATAGAGAAGAGAGGCACCCAGCATGTCAGGAGTTAGGAGGCCACCGAAAAGAGTGTGAGAGAAGAAAGGCAATACGCTGGAACATTTTTTGAAACAGTTTTTACTCCAAGGAGATGCAAAGAATTCTGTGGATGAGTCAGCCTGGAAATAATTGGTAAGAGAGACTATAAAGTTCATAGGAGCAAAGGCTTAATAATACCCCAGAGGAAATTATCTAGCAAAAAAGCAAATGCCAGTGCATTCGTTTGGTAACATCCATTAGTGCCAACTGTCCGGCAGAAACCAGCAACAGGCATAAATATCTTGATTTTAAAAGCCACATGGAAAATCTGGATGAACTCTTCAAAGAGTAGGCCTGTGTGTCTAGTTTAAGATCAAACAGCAACTACAACCTGTGTTTGGTAATGCTCGATGTATTTGTTATTTAAAGCAGGGCCCACAGGAAGGAAATAAAAGCAGATGTACAGTGAGGAACTTCAAGCAAAAAGAATCAAGAAATGAGCTGAGAAGCAAATGATGATGTAAAAAGGAGGAGCCTGAGGCCAAACTAAACTGGCCTAGGGCAAGTGAGCATAAATAAGATTAAACTTCCTAAAGTTTTTTTTTTTTTTGGTGACAAGTACTGACATGCTATTTTTGTCTTTGTTAAAATTTCTAAAAAATATACTATAGGGCTTCCCTGGTGGCACAGTGGTTGAGAGTCCGCCTGCCGGTGCAGGGGACACAGTTCGTGCCCCGGTGTGGGAAGATCCCATATGCCGCGGAGCAGCTGGGCCCGTGAGCCATGGCCGCTGAGCCTGCGCGTCCGGAGCCTGTGCTCCGCAACGGGAGAGGCCACAACAGTGAGAGGCCCACATACCACAAAAAAAAAAAAAAATATATATATATATATATATACTATAAAAGCAGATCTGGAGTAATATATCATGACAATTTAAATGCTGCTAAAGCAATGTAATTTGTCATAATTAAAAACTGCAATCAGCTAAATGGTCCACAACAGGGGCCTGGTAAATTTACATTGTGGTACATCTGTGACTTAGATATTATGCAGCCTCCAGCAATTATATGCAGTAACATGAAATATACTCATGAAAGAGCTGTAACTGAACAAGCTATTTTATACAGTATGAATGATGGAGCTAAAGTAAGCCTATATATAGTTTTTTTTTTTTCCTTTTACTGGAGTAAAATTGCTTTACAATGTTGTGTTAGTTTCTGCTGTACAACGAAGTGAATCAGCTCTATGTATACATATATCCCCTCCCTCTTGGACCTCCCTCCCACCACCCCCCATCCCACCCATCTAGGTCATCAGAGAGCACCGAGCTGCACTCCCTGTGCTATATACAGCAGGTTCCCTTAGCTAACTATTTTACACATGGTAGTGTATTTATGTCAAACCTGATCTCCCAATTCGTTCCACCCTCCCCTTCCCCCCACTGTGTCCACATATCTGTTCTCTACGTCTCTATTCCTGCCCTACAAATAGGTTCATCTGTACCATTTTTCTAGATTCCACATATATGTGTTATTGTACAATATTTGTTTTTCTCTTTCTGGTTTACTTCACTCTGTATGACAGACTCTAGGTCCATCCACATCTCTACAAATAACCCAATTTCGTTCCTTTTTAGGGCTGAGCAATATTCCATTGTATATCTGTGCCACATCTTCTTTATCCATTCACCTATCGTTGGACACTTAGGCTGTTTCCATGTCCTGGCTATTGTAAATAGTGCTGCAGTGAACATTGGGGTACATGTGTCCTTTTGAACTATGGTTTTCTCAGGGTATATGCCCAGTAGTGGGATTGCTGAATCATATCGTAGTTCTATTTTTAGTTTCTTTTCGTAATTACTTTTGTAAAGTTCTTTGGATTCTCAGGGAAAAGATGCTATTTACCTTTAATTTTAGCTTTGGATATTTTTTATTAGTAGGAGCCTCACAGGGCTCTAAGCCAGCTCCAGAGGAAAGTAAAATCAAGACTTTCCTTGTGCATAGGTATGAGGCTTTATAAAACTCTTAATAAAATGCTGCAGAGAGGAAAGATGCTAGTGGCAGAGGCTGTCTGTAGTTCACATACTGCCACTCTTGGCCAGCATTTCTAGAAGTCACCAAGCAAATACCAAGTATAATGTCTAGAGAGAGAGAATTTATCTATAGTACCCTCATATGAAGGATGCTGCCAAGTCTTTATGTGTCCCAGTTTATGATTTGTTCTTAGAGACAGTCAACCATGTATAAACTAAGAAAAGGGAATCCCACCTGAAGGCTTCAGCTGGGGCCACCAGAGTGCGCTTTCCTCAGGCTGGTTTTCCTACTGATCAATTTGCCTGAGAGTGTTTCAAGCACAATCCAGTCCCCTTGGAGTGTCTGCATCTATCTGAGTATCTTGTTCCTTTCTGTCACTTTGAGATTTTGTCACTTTGAGATTATTAAACTAATTCCTCTAAAGCATATCCTATTTCTTTTGTGTTTCTAATAAATAGTTCTACATCACATTGTTTTATGACCGAATGGATTGTTTTATATCTTGGTGGTGACTGTGTTCTACTATATTTCCTTAAATACTGTTAGAATTTTTAAAGCCAGTATTTCTAAGTGAAGACTCTTTGTTTAAGGCAGTATTTAATTTTTCTCTTTGGGACACCTGCACAGATGCAAAAACACTAAAAAAGCTTTAGGCAACTTTAAAATATTTTATTGTATTGAAATATTCAAATTTATTTAATGTTAACTGTATAAAAAGAATCTAGACACCTTAACGGTGAATTTCACTTGAGGGAGAGGGATTAGGGTTCTATGAGAATCACCAGTTGGCAGTTTTTCCAACCACACATGCTGGCATCCGCCCCTAGATTCTAGAAGCTTGGGGGTGATGGCCATATTCTCTTCTTGTCAATAAAAAATAAAGGGGAATGAAATCTGCCTTTGGCTTCCTACTCCCTACTGACTGTATTCTGGTTGCTGATCCCTTCATGATCATTCAGAAAACATTTTTAAGAGTTTATTATTTTAATTAAAATAGCACTTGTAAAAGCGAGTACGATTCTGAATATTATAGATCTATTGTTAAAAAAACCTTGAACTTGGAGCTACACCATCAAACCGTGTACATGAGATCCTAGGTCATAGCACTAGTCTCCTCTCTTTGGTGAGAAGAGGATTGGAGAAATATTTCTGATGTCACAAGACAAAATGTTTTCAAGGAGAAAGGTTGTACAAAAAGAATGAGCTTGTTGGTGATTTCTTATTCGAATACGGCACCGCTGGGGCAGACTGACCTTGCAGGGCTACGCCGAGCATGTCGGAGCCAGTGAGGCTAGCAGACACTCTCCACACACGCCCCAGTCAAAAGCAGGCAGCCTAGCCACTCACCGGCAGGGCAAGATCCGGACCACATCGTTGGGCTTGTACCCTTCAATACAAACTGCACAGTTGTCAAAATCAGGCTCGGTTTCCTGCAACAGAGACAGCACAGATGAGCCTGCTTTCCTACCTTCGGCTCCTGTAAACACACAAATAACAAGCCAAAGGAGAGCTTGCCTGGAGCAAGGCTTTCAACTGTCTCGGCGCCAGTTTTCTAAATCCATAATTTATTGTACACTGGTTTAGTTTCTATTCCTTCCAACCTCCACTTTCTGTTTCCGGGTTCCACTGCAAGAGCTTTTGTGAGGGAACAGTTTTTTAATGTACCATTACTAATAATGCTACTTATTATAATCGGAGGTGACATAGCAAAGTCGCGAGGATGAGAAACACTATTCATGGAGAATTGTCAAAATGATATTTAATCTATCCATTCCTCGGGAATCTAATGTATACAACTCTTAAATAGTGGCTCCAGCTTTCTTTTCAAGTACATAAATCTCTTTCAACACCCCATAATACATTACTTATGTAATAGTCCTTGTTCTTTTATTACCCTGTTTGAGGATAAAAAAGTAATGAAAAACTATACTTTAAATTTAGTGATACCTTTAAATGAATTTTATCCTATTAAGCTCAACGGTATTTTTATATGGTTGAAAAACAGCAGCACGTAATTAGCGAGACTAATCAATTATTCATACTGGAGACAATACCGTATACAAGTAGAGTTGTGAATCTCTTACGATGCCCCAAGGAGCCCCAAACCCATGTACTGCCATTCACTGCTCTAAAATTTCTCCTGGGGGAAAAATTCTCCTGGGGAGAACAGAGGCCTTGAGAGGCTTGTGGGCCTAGACTGGCCTACTTTGCGGTCCTTCCTTAAGATATGCTTCCGCTTTTGGCTTTTTGTCATCATTCTACAGCTGGAGAGACTGTTGCCTTGACGTTGGGGTTCTAGAAACTCAATTTCAAGGGACTGAATATGCTTCTTGCATTTGTTGCAGACTCAAGTGGAGGACATCACTCAGCACACAACCATCTTCCTTGCAAGGATTCATGGAAAAACTTTCTCAAGCTGTAATACCAGCAACAGCCATTTTGTTTTTATGTTGTGGGACACTGGAATAAGGTAATTAGATTTGTTTGAATATTGAATATTGTTTCCTTCTTTGCATTGGCTTGCTGGAGAGCCCCAGCTTAAATTTTGGGACCCATTTCTGCTATATGTTTCAGGTAATGCGTGTGTATACTGACTTCATCCTGGTTGCGTCTACTTTTCCTATACCTACTTTTCAATTCTTCCTCCAACTACTTTGTTGTCCTATAGTATGCATCTTATAAACGGCTTTAAATCATGTTAAATAATGATGGGTATAATAACAGATGTTCACAGGAGAACTATTAGTATGTATTTCCCTTTCTCATCTTCTTTTCCACACTGGCTGCTAGGAAACTCGGACGCTTCTCTGAATAGCTCCTCGCCAAAAAAGAAAAGAGGCTGTTACCTTGTCACCCTTCTTGATGGTCCTGACCTGGAGCTTGCTGATTGCTTTCTTTGCTGCATCTCCCAGTCGGCGCTGAAAAACCAAAAGCTGCTTGTTAGCAATAAAGACTTGTAATTCTTAACTTTGTGTCTGATAGCATTCAGTAAACCAGGGCAGCTGTGTCTGAAATCATGCACAAGTGGAAGGAATGTTAATGAAGACAGCTGGAAGAGACGGGGCAGTGATACCTGTGCAAAGGGACTTGACTCATCGCAGCCTACTAAAGAGCTCTGTCATCGAGAGAAGCTCTTTATGCCTGAGGTTAAGCAAGTGGAATATGACATGGAAGGATCCTGCCCCACAGTGACTCCAGCGCAGGTCACATCCATGCAGATTAGCAAAACAAACAAACAAACAAACAAACAGTTCCCTAATTTGTCACTCTAGCCACTCAATTTGTGACGTGGAGATAGCCAATTTGGAGTAGTTGGAATAATCTCTCTCTCTTGTTCACAGGGTATATTGTTTGTGTATTCCTTTCAATTTGGAATTTTTAAGCAATTTCCTTTGCTTATCTAGACCCAACTTAGGTTTATATTTGGTCTGTACTATCCTTTCCCATCACCTTGTTACATGCCAATTTCACCTCTTTAGTGTGTGTTTAAGTGTGAGTGTGCGCATAGGAAAATACATAAATCATACATATTCAGTTTAGCAAACAGTTATAGAGCAAACACCTGGGTAACCATCATCACCCACGTTAAGAAATAATATATTATGCACTCCTTTTTTTAATAGAGGAAGTTAGTATCCTAACGCACCCTACAATAATACAATTAATAGGGCCACGAGGAAGAATGGGAGAGGAAGAGGGTGGGGAGAGAATTACGTTTTAATCTGTCGAGGAAAAAAATGGTTTGCTTGTGTGCTTATGAGTTTTCCACATACTGTAATCTTCTCAGGTATGTGTATTTCTAGTCTGCAACAGAAGTGTATTTGCAGCAGTGAAACGTATTTGAAGGACTAAGATAAACAGGGCAAACGTTTAAAAAGAATAATCATCTGCTTTCACTAATTTTGTTTCTTTTGGAAATAAAACTCTAGCTTCTTTCTTTTCTTTAAAGTAGTGAGCATACACTAATGAAGAGTTCATTTAGCCTAAGTACCGTGTGCTAAAGCTTTGTAAGCTACATCACTATTATCCTTACAACAGCTCTACGAGAAAAATACTATTTTATAGAATGGAGACTTAAAGAGCTTAAGTAAATTGTCTAATATCACAGAGTTAGTGACAGGTCATTCAGAATCTGAGTAAAAATTAAGTCTGAATTTAAAACGAAAGCTAAATTACCCCGCTCATTTTTTTCACCAATTACCCAGTCCACCGACCAGGCAGTCGGCCAATCACCAAACACCTATCCAGTCAGCCAGCAGCTAGCCAGCCAGCCAACCTACTAATCAGCTAGCTAACCAACCAACATCTAGCCAGCCGGCCAGCCAACCAGCCATTCAGTCAACCAGCCAAGCAACTAACCCATCAGCTGACCAACCAATCAAAATCTATTAAGTACCTGTCATACGGCATGTCCCTAAGCATACCCCAATCTGAGTAAATAGGCAGAAGAGGACATGCTTCCCTTGTTAATTCATTTTTCTCTTTGATAGTCTGTCCTTAGTTTCTAAAATAATTACTGGCATTTTTAACAGAAAAGTAAGCCTTGGTTGTTTCCTAAAAGGAGACCAACATACACTTGAGACCTATAAGGAAATCCATGAGTAATGAGCAAACTAAGGAGGTGGGAAAAATAGGAAGAGGCTATAATGAGAAATACCAAGGGGGAACATACAGTGAGAGGAAAAGAAAAGAACTGAGATGAAACTAAACAGGATGTAACTCTCTTTCCTTTCCTCCTCCTCTAGCTGGTGCCTAACCATCCTTTGGTCTTAACTCAAGCCACTTCCTCAGGAAGCTCCTCCCTCTTCTTCCAGGAGAGAGGAGCCCTCGAGTCCAGATCCTCACACCTTCGCTTCACGGCACTGTCACAACATTTGCAAGTTGATGTTTATTTTGATGATCAACTCCCGTTCCACTTGGCTCAAGTGAGCTCCCTGAGTGCACGATTGGGTTTAGTTTTGCTTCCCCTTGTTTCCCCAGCACCTAGAATAAAGCTGCCTTCAAATCAGTGACCCGTGATCATTCCACACGTATCTCGGATCACTTATTTTGTTCCAGGCCTAGCTCTGGGTTTTGAAACAATGGTAGTGAAAAAATACATACACTTTCCTGCTCTCTGCAGCTTACTATCTAATGGAAACTCCATGAAGGGTTGATAAGTGAATAAAATCTTAAATCCAGAGATTTTTTAAAAGCATGAAATACAACCTGAGAAATTCAGCCAGTTGATGGGAAAATTTATGGAAAACTATAAGTAATACATGTGATAAGGTAAGCAAATCTTACCTGTACCTCTTTTTTCTTTCTTTCTTTTTTTTTTTTTGCGGTACGCGGGCCTCTCACTGTTGTGGCCCCTCCCGTTGCAGAGCACAGGCTCTGGACGCGCAGGCTCAGCGGCCATGGCTCACGGGCCCAGCAGCATATGGGATCTTCCCGGACCGGGGCCCGAACCCGTGTCCCCTGCATCGGCAGGCGGACTCTCAACCACTGCGCCACCAGGGAAGCCCCCACCTATACCTCTTTTGAGGAGGAAAAGGATTGCATTTTGGTAGAGACTAATGAAGGATATGAAAATCTGCCCTGCCAGGGGAAAAAGAGATGATCTAGATACCTGGAAAATACGGAAAAACCAGCTTCTGAGATATAGATGATAACTATGGGACCAGGGAAAAGCACTGTAAAGTTTAAAAAAATGCTATGACCATTTGCATGTAGCCAAATTTTGTCAATATGGGCATGTCTCTATTTCTTCTTAAGTGACATGAAAATCAGAAATACTGACTTCTGAATAAAGACCATTGTCCCACTTTCCACTATTTTCACACTAGTATTACTGGATCTCCAAAGTGCAAACTAATGACAGAAGCCCATAAACATTCTTAATAAAATGGCCCAAATAAGGAATTTGTTGCTCTTGTAGTTGGTCTCTTCTGTCTTTGGGATTTTAACTGCACCGAGTATAAATGAGAGGGAAAGCTACAGACCTTGCTCAAACCAAGTCTTGTATGTAGTTGAGCAGAGAATCTAGGGACTGGAGCAGAAGATCATCACAAAACAGACTCTTTCCTTTGTGCTCCTTAGAAATGCAGAGTGATGTGATGCTGATGGAAGACTTAGGGACCACCTCAGGTAGATGGAGGGACCACCTTGGGCAGAGAGGGACCTCCTCAGGTTTGTACAGACATGTTGTTTCAGGCAGGGATTCCTATCCCTTCTCCAGGATGCTCCTATAGATGTTCTCCAACCCAACCAGATCCAAATCATATTATACTTTTCACTAAAAATTGTCAGGAGTTGAGCCATCTTGGTAATTAGATTTACTCATCAATTTGATTGAAACAGGTCTAAGAAAATATTTTCCAAGGTTACTGGTTCCTTGACAACAATGAAGATAAACGGCTTTATGGAAGATAAACACAGAGCCATTTATTAGAAGAATAAGGTCTGACATAAACACCAACAAGGATAGTAAACAATGACAGACTCCAACCCAAGATGTATAATTTAGTTATCTCCTAAATACTTAAGAAACTGAGAAAAATAAGACATTTACCTCGAGTTCCCCTCTGTGTTATAAACAGAAATGCAGTCAAGGTGAGAAAAAACTAGGACTAAGGATGCCAAAACACAGCATCAAAATTGAGTTTATGGGGCTTCCCTGGTGGCACAGTGGTTGAGAGTCCGCCTGCCGATGCGGGGGACACGGGTTCGGGCCCCGGTCCGGGAAGATCCCATATGCCGCGGAGCGGCTGGGCCCGTGAGCCATGGCCGCTGAGCCTGCGCGTCCGGAGCCTGTGCTCTGCAACGGGAGAGGCCACAACAGTGAGAGGCCCGCGTACCGCAAAAAAAAAAAAAAAAAAAAAAAAAAATCGAGTTTTTGTTCTTCCTGTCTCATTTGGTTGAATAATTCCGTATCATCTCTGCCTCTTTTTTTTCCTGACAGCTATATTTTCTAATCATGATTACTGTCATCATCAACACGACCAAGTGGAAAAATAACTAAGTGTCCTTATGTTCTAGGTGAAGAGAGGCCATTACAGACATAAACAGAGTTGGTCCCAGTCATCTGGATGCTCATGTGGCCACAGGTGACTCAGCCACTTCCCGCACTTGCTCTAATACATAATAATGATTCTCCTGGGCCCGCTTGATGGGACAGAAACCATTGCACAGCAAGTCCAATCAATTTCTATGATGCAAATCACCCCTCCGTCCACTTAGAAATATGGATAAAAGAATTAGACTCCTTTGGCGGCCATGGTGACTCCACAGCGTAAGGACTTAAAAGCTGTTCGTGCACACAGGGCATGAGGTAAAACCATCAGGATTAATTTGGAGGGGTAGGAGGTGTTGTAGAGAGGAAGGCAATGGCTTGGGAGTAAGAAAATCCAGCTTTTAGTCCTCTTTCCGGCACTCACTGACTGTGACTTTGGCCAAGTCACTTAAATATTCTGGACCTTAGTTTCTTTTATTAGTAACCTTAGGTATGTAAAGTCATGTCATTTCCAGCTTTACTAGCTCATCATTATCATCCGCGCAGAACAGAACTGGGAGGCAAAGATCCTTTGAGACCTGAATTATCAAAACACAGTACATCAATGGCTAATGACCTCACTGAATACTTGCCCTCTATCCCCTGAGGACAGCGCAGCATCAATCAGGGACCACTTTGGTTCTCGCTCTTTAGAAGACAGAAGCATCTCCACTTACAGACCCTTCCTGGATGGCAGACACTTGGCCTACTCCTATCCCCTCCCTTTCTCTTTTCCTGTGAAGCTCAAGTTTGTTTTAAATTCCATTACTTCTTTTGTTCCAACATCACTTCAGCAGCAAGATGTGCAAAAGAAATCAAAGGGCCATGGGCCACGAACATGCAAATAATAGGAAAAGGTATTCTCAGGGAGAGGTAACTCTTTCA